CTTAATTCATTTAATAGTCAAAAAACTAAAGATTAAGATTTGTTCAATTGCTCCACCTTAGAAAGTAGCATAAATTCAATCGTATAAAAGATTAAGCGAACATGAAAAATCAAAGACGTGTTCAAACAAAACAATCCTCTAAGTGCAAATGATATATGCAATGCCCTTTCTTCGGCTGTCCGTGCCCCTGAACCCATCAGGTTTTGGATCTCACGCTTCAGCGCCTTATAGTTATCAAAGAAATGTTTGGAGCATCCTATGTGGCAACTGCAAACATCTTCAATATCGTAGCCCTTAGGATATGTGGACTATTTTCTCAGATCATCTTGGCAGGCTTAGTCGTACAACCAGCTGATCGAGCTCATTCATTATGATTTCAGTTTTTTTCTTTTGATGTTACAATCTTACTTCCATGTGATTTCATGTGGTTAAAACCACTTCATCAAATTCTCCATGAAGAAATTTCATGTTTATGAAAATGCTTAAAAATGAAATGTAGATGCAAAATACAAAAAATGCATGAAATGTTCGAGGCATTGATCCAAAAATAAGTCTGTTATTGTAAATAACCTTTATTGGGACAAAAGTGTTTTATCTTTTAAGAGACAATAAACATATTTAAAGGTACATCCAGACTAAATCCTCTAGACCCGGAACAGGTTGACTAGTCATTTGCCTTCGTCTTTCACCGGTTGAATAACCTGTTGAACCACTCCGGCCTCTCTGGATGAACCGTGAAAATGTTGAGTTGTTTTTTGTACTGGTTCCCAAAAAGTGTCGAATGACTGCATCTCTGGCTTTCATCATTTGTTGAATCAGAAATTCCATTGAAATCCTCCATCAAAGGGATTATCCGAAGTTCATTTGCTTGTTTCTTGAATTTGTCGACAGTGACTTGTCATCTTGTTCTTGTTGTCTTTGAATAGACTCTCGAGGTCAGTAACATTTTTCTCATCTTGCCCCTGCCACTTTTGTCAACCCATTTTTGAAAAGTTAACTTTTGATGTACTTGATTATGGGCACCATGTCTTCTTGATCGAATATGACATATAATTGTCTTGCAAATTGTCCTCATTTTCTTTCTGAGTCTTTTCTGACCATAGCCGGACCCCTGCATTTTTTCATCTCTTGTATTACAACCCATTTGTCCATTAATGCAAATTATTTATGGTTAACGAACACGTTTTTGTGTGTGGATCAACACCTCTTTTGAATGATGCATATGATGGAAATAAAATAAAAGAGAGAAAAATTGAAAAGAGTTAGTAAGGTAAAGATAATAATAATGAAAAATAAAAGGTTCTACCCCGCATGATATCTACCCCACATGCTTTAATTCCTACCCGACATGATCTCTATCCCGCATGCTAATTCCACACAAATCCTAACCGCATATTTGTCTAGTTCGCATGCTTTGAACAGAAGTAAAGCATGAAACAAAGTAGCCTAGGGTTTGGAATGAGGTTTTGGGGTGGGCTCTAATTCTCCATAGCCTCCCGGTTTAGGATCTAAAAAATGGGACCCGAGTTCTCCTTGTCGCTGCCCCCTTGGGCTTACCAGACCCTTAGTCCTAAGCCCATTACAAGCTTATGTGAACTAAGTTAAACTCGAGAGGAAACATTCCCTTATGCCCGCATGGTGAATAAATTCACACGAAGACATAAGGTATATGAATCTCAAAGGCTACTTGCTAGGCCCGCACGGTGAATAAATTCACACGAAGGCGTCGCTTTCACCCCCACTTAAAAGGGTTCAGAGCTCGGGTATAGAGCTAGAGATGGAAACTTTTTCAAAAATCTAAAATAATTGAAAAAACGTCAGTACAACTATTTACTTAAAAAAATAATCGAAGATAAATAATTGGAATCGAATAAATAAATTAAAATTTAAACTTGTAATTTTCGCTAAAAAAAGACAACCGAAAATTAATTTCGGCCTGACTCACTTACCTGTCCCTAGCGGAGTCGCCAAGCTGTCGTAGCCGTCTTTCGGTTGGGCCCCGAAATTGGGTTTCGACTTGAAAAATGTGGATTGGAGTCGCCACCGACCATTTTAAAACGAATTTAGGTGGGTCGGACACCATCTTACCTGATCTGCGTTTTTACCAGAAATGTGTCGGGTTCGAGAGTCGGTTACGGTCAAGGAAGGATTAGCACCCTTGAACCGCCCTTTCGGTACCAATTAATTTACCGGTTGTCTTAGTTGCGAAAATTCAAAATTCAAAATTTAAATTAAAATTTAACAGACCCAATTCAAATTACTTACAATTGATTGATTTGAATACCCTTAAAAGATAAAAACGTTAAATTCGTAATGGATTATAAAATCGAATTAAGATAGCAAGTGTGCAAACGTGAAAATAATAAATAAAACAAGAAAAAATAAAAAATAACAAAACACATAAAAAATAATAATAAAATAATAATAAAAATAAACAAAATGAATAAAATGTAAAAAAAAAGACACATGTAAAAGGGAAACAATTAATGGAGTAAAGAAAAGATAAAAGAAATTAAAAAGGAATAAAAATAATGTGTATTATAAAGTAGTATTTACAAAAACAAATAAAATAATAAATATAATACTAAGTAAAACAAGTAAAAAAATAAAGATATACATGATATTAAGAAAAAAATAAAAAAAGTAAAAATATAATATATATAAATAAATAAAAACAAAGATAGAATATTAAGAAAATATATATATATAAAATCGTATAAAATATAATATTAAGAAAAAAATATATATACATAGCAAATGGTGAAAAATTAATACATACATACATACATATATATATAATAAAAATAATATAATATAAATAAATAAATAAAAGATGAATATAATAAATAAATAAATAAATATAATTAAAAATATATATAGAGGAGACGAAATTAATATACAAGTAAAATTAAAGTATAAATTTCAAGGTAAATTAAAGATTAAGATTGACTTAGGGGGGAATATTAAATACTTTTAAAAAAATGAACATGCCTAGGGAGTAGATCTAGGTTTGAAACTTTGAAACCCACCCCTTTTTGGTCATCAACGCAACCCACGCTTTAGGTTTTTCGAACTAAATCTTACGAAAAATAATATGCACATGCGAGAAATGAACGAATCAATGTAAAAAAATGCTACATTTTACTTCTTTTCGAATCGTTCACAATAGCTTTGCCTTTGTATTTTTTCATGCTTTTCTCTGTATCTTGTATGTAAATCCGTGTGTTACAAATGGGGATGATTATATGTATTTATAGTGAAAAAAACTAACTACTTTTAGAATCCTATTAACAATAGAATCCTAATGCAACTAGACTCATTGTTCGATTGTTGTATGTTTGTTGGTGTGGTTGTTGTTTTAAAAGATACGGTGGTGGAAGAGTCCTCTTAGGAGATGAACTCTTAATAGTTCTATCTTTTAAAAAAATGGATGTTACACTTACATTCTGTTAAATAAACCAAATATAAAATAAAATATTCTCAATAATTTTATTTACGCGATAATTATTTTTCACTAATAATTTTATATTCGTGGAGTACCCAAGAGTTTTTTTGTTATTATGATTTATGAAAAATTTGGCTTCTATTTCGGTCTTTTCTTCCCCAATTTCCGTTCTCTCATTTTGATGTGTGATAGAATGTCAGGTGGAAAACCCAGAACATTAAAGAAAGAAGGCAATTTGACCCATGACAAAGTACGGAGGGTGACCAAATATGTGTGCAGGAACTGGTAGGTGCATGACCAAAAATCTCCCCCACTAGATTCTTTTGTGGACACAGTTCCATTGCCTTTGTCCCACATGGATCGAAACTTGAAAGCTTATCCTTTCCACTACCACATGCTGATATCATTTTGGCCACACAACCTCTCGGAAGCTACGTTGAAACTAGCAAGCTTCATTTTGATAGTTTTATATGGAAAATATATTATATTATATCTTTAATAACATAAGACGATATATAATTAATTTTATTAACAAAACATATTTGAAATTGGTATTGATACCATATATAAATCTGAATTTTTTGTGTTATTATTTATATTTATAGATAATCAGTAAAGAGAAAATATGGAACACGGAATTTTCTAACGCTCGAAATTATTTGATCCCACCGGAAGACTAGATCTTCTTGCTTTTGGTGTTTTGGACGTTCTCAATTATTGATAGTCGCCCAATCCTTATTCATTTTTCAATTACTTCTTTACCCTTTCTATATTAAACTTTTTATTCACATTTTTCATCTACATTTATTATTAATAAACTTATAATTTTGCAAGTCGGGTTTTAGGCTCCGTCCCATCCAAGGTTAAATTTAAAATAACGATAATAAATAAATGTTCTTGATTTAAAAAAATACATGGGATTTGGGATATACTTCAACGCAGCTATTTTTTTTTGAAATCTTGGCTATTTGCTTTGGCCTAAAATATATCAACTCTTTCCTTCGATACAAATGTTGAAATGTTGGTTAAAATTTGTTGCAAATTCTATTACTGTTTACACTTTTAAAATTAATTTTTTTATTGTTAGATTTTTATCATCTTTATTTAATGAAAAATTAAGTTCAATTTTAACCTAATTTAAATATTTATTAGCTTTATTAAATTCATATCTAATTATTATTAATGTTAAATTTAAATCCAAATTTGAATAATTTAGACCTGAATTTAATAGGGTAACGATATTACGGGTTAAATTTTAAATAAAAAACAAAGGAGTTATTAATGAAAATAAAATATAATTTTTTAAGGAAGCTAAAAAATACATTAAATTTTAACCTAATATACTCTTAATTATATAGTATATTTTGTTATAAAAAATAGATAAGATAGTAGGGAGAGAGAAGTAAATTCGTAGTGAAGCCACGGAAGAAACACGGGATATTTCAACTGAAGATGTCGGGTCCACGTCATCATCTGTGGACCCCATATTACTCAATAATTATGAAATATATAACCATATCGCATTCCATTCCACCCCGCTACTTCTTTTCTTGCACGCACTATTTGTCCCACTTTTTCCTCCCATCTCTCTCGATCGGAGATTAGGTTTGAAGACGAGAGAATGAGCATGAAGAAGAAGACGACGCGTGCTAACGCGATGTGGACGCGTGTCGGGAAGTTCGAGCTCGGGAAAACCTTGGGTGAGGGCAGTTTCGCCAAGGTTAAGTTCGCTAAGAATGTCGAGAGCGGCGAGTGTGTCGCCATTAAAATCCTCGACCGTGACCAAGTTCTCCGTCACCGGATGGTCGAACAGGTCAATACTCCCTCCCTCCCAGTCTCCTCCGTGCACACAAAACATTTCAAATTAAAAAAAATTGAAATTCTAAATTGATCTCGGTCGTCAATAAACATGCGCCTCACTTGTACTTATATTACCAAAATAACATTCGATTAATCGAATCTGGATTTGTGATAAAATTCGTTGTGTTATAATTTTGAAAAACCTTAAGAAATTTGGTTTTGTATGGAGCAGATAAAAAGAGAAATATCAACAATGAAGCTTATCAAGCATCACAATGTCATTAAGATATTTGAGGTAAAATCACTAATCCCTGCCGTAGAAGCCAGAAGGTTCATTCAGTTTAGCATTGCTGATACAATTATTTTATTCAAACTTCTTTGCTTCTAAATTCTAATGCATAGGTTATGGCAAGCAAGTCAAGGATATATATCGTGATCGAGTTTGTTGATGGAGGCGAGCTTTTCGACAAAATTGTAAGGAATTGCCGTTACTTAACTTTGCCGATATCTGTAATGGAACGAATTAAATTGTGACCCCGAAGGAACATTGTTTGATATATATAGATTCAAGTAGTAGGTCGTCGTTTATTGTTCATGGTAGTGAAAAATCTTGGATATTTGTAGGCCAAAAGCGGGAGACTAAAAGAGGATGAAGCTAGAAGCTATTTCCATCAGCTTATCAATGCTGTTGATTACTGCCACAGTAGAGGCGTCTACCATAGAGATTTGAAGGTCTTAACTTTTCTATTTAATTCACCAATCAATGAGTACTGTTTTTCAATTCTTTTGAATTAATTTGGAGAAGTTCATTCAATGTGGTGCGGGTTGTAATTCCTTATTCATATGTATTTATCCAGTATTTATCTACTTTTTGCAGCCTGAAAATCTTCTTCTTGACTCGCAAGGTGTTCTTAAAATTTCAGATTTTGGATTGAGTGCTTTCTCGCAGCAAGTTCGGGTAAGCACGTATTGTTCAGTTATTGACTACGATGAATACATATTTTTTTCTTATGCCTATTGACACTTGTAATCATATAAGCAGAAACTTAACTATTTTAAATCTCTTCACCAAATTTTTGGATTAGATATGTATTTTTTGTTGATAAAATCTTATGTTTTATGATAAGGGATCAAACCTTTTGTGTTATGATTTTTTTGGGGCCAATAATGATTTTAAGTAAATATATTTAAAATAGTTTATTACTTGTATTTTTTATATCAGTTTAAGCGTTGTTACACACTAATTATCCTTTCCTATTAAAGAATTCCTCTGGCCTTCAATCATAAAAAGTTATGGGGGAACCCCAATAATTTCCAAGAAAAATACTTGTCCAAATGACTAAAGAAGGTCAGCCACCAATCAGTTTGGTTACTCGAGAAAATGCGTGAAACAGTTGGTCAAGGCATTTTAGTTAGCAGTAAGATCATATAATTGTCTACTTTCAATAATGGTGGAAAAGAAGGAAAACTCCATGTCTAGTAGTGTCACCCTTTTCTTTAACATGTTTCTAATATAGGAGGATGGATTGCTTCACACTGCTTGTGGGACTCCAAATTATGTTGCTCCAGAGGTACTCACGACTTTATTGAAAATAATTTAGCTCTGATGCTGCAATTTCCCCCCTTTTTCTTTTACTGTGGCATCTGATATTTTTCTTATCAGGTGCTCAAAGATAAAGGTTATGATGGTACTTCAGCAGATATTTGGTCTTGTGGAGTTATTCTCTTTGTTCTTATGGCTGGTTATTTGCCTTTTGATGAGCCAAGCCTTGTAGCCTTGTATAAGAAAGTAAGTACCTATCCTCCCAGATTTGGCTTCTCTTTTTCGATGAGAACATTAAAATTGTTGGTACATCGTGATAAATTTCAGATATGTACGGCTGATTTCAGTTGTCCTTCATGGTTTTCATCTGGTGCAAGGAAATTGATTAAACGAATTCTTGATCCAAACCCTCTTACGGTAAATTCCAAAATCAATTCGTCCGATAAAACTTTGTGATTGCTTGCAATCTTTGTTCTCAGCATAGGCTGATAAACACATGCATTTCTATTGAAGTTCTGCATGTTCTTCTTGACAGCGTATAACTGTTCCAGAAATTCTACAAGATGACTGGTTCAAGAAAGGGTACAAGCCAGCCCGATTTGAGCAGGAAGAGGATGTAAATCTTGATGACATAGATGCTGTTTTTAATGACTCAACGGTAAGACATTTTAGATTCTGTCTGTTTTTCAGCTCTGAGAAAAGAGATATATTGTAAGCAAAATTCTTTACAAGCACTTGAGTTTTAGAATGTGTGGATGGAATTCTTTTCCCCAGAACTTGAACATTGACCCTGTAAACTAGTTTTTGTTCATTTGTGTCCATTGCTTTGGAACCAAGTTACCCTATATGAAAGAATGAATTACATTTCATGCTACTTATGGTTTGTTTATTTGCAGGAACACCTTGTAACAGAAAGGAAAGAGAAACCTGTGTCCATGAATGCTTTTGAGCTTATATCTATGGCGCAGAGCTTTAGCCTTGACAAATTGTTTGAGAAGCAGAGCGTATGTATCTAAGATCCCTTTATATTTCCCTTGATTATATTGTGTTAATCATAGAATTTGAACAATTATCTATGTTAAATGCTTCTAGCCTGGATCTCACCTTCAATCTTACAATTATTAGAAAATATTTCTTAGCTAAGCACTCTTTTTGCTTCTGGTTTGAATTGAAACTACAGGGGGCTGTGAAGCGAGAAACCAGTTTTGCTTCTCAATGCCCTCCTAACGAAATTCTCTCAAAAATTGAGGAAGCTGCAAAGCCTATGGGATTTAATGTTCACAAGAAAAACTACAAGGTTTGCTTTATCTGAATCAGTGTTGGGCAAGCTAATCCTCTTGCCTTTTCAAAACATCTAGTTCATATGATTGCAAATTCTGTTTCATCTCTCATGTATATTCACTTTGTCACAGATGAAGTTGAAAGGTGACAAAAGTGGGAGAAAGGGCCAGCTTTCCGTAGCTACCGAGGTACTGCATTTTTTTTAGCTAGTCAAGCATCCTTTTTTAGTTCTTTTGTAAACAATGAAAAATTTACCATTGGTTGAAATGGAAGTATACATCATTTGAATAATTGTTTAAGCTTATGTATCAATTTCTAACTGCCCTTCAAAGGATATAAGATCTTTAGATTCTTCCATATCAAAGAAACATGTAAACCTCATTGCTCTTTGATCTAGGTTTTTGAGGTGGCTCCCTGCTTACATATGGTGGAGCTTCGTAAAACCGGTGGTGACACGTTGGAGTTTCACAAGGTATACCTACATTAACTATTTGCTGATAACTTTGGCTTTGTCGATGAGAAAATGTTTAGCATCCCTGCGTTTTCTGTAACCCACTTTAACAGGGATCTTTCTTCTCTGCCCCGAGTTTCATAAATAAATTCTTCTTTTAATGACAGTTCTATAAAAGTTTTTCGTGCGAACTGAAAGACATAGTCTGGACAACGGGTGAAAGCACCGAAGCATGAAGGTGATCTCTTCTTGCTCCCCACTTCATATTACTGACATAATGAACCAAGTTTATTGACTTTGTGGTTTGTTTCTGCAGGCCCTAACAAAAACCGTCTTGTACCGATTCATTATTGCCTTAGCCTCGTGTATATACTGTTTGCTTGCGCGAACTAGATTGCTTCAAAACGTGAGGCACATGGTTCATTGACATTTTCTTTATCCCCTTTAATTTCCGTAGGGATCAAATATTGAAATTTTGCAAACAGATAGCCTAGCTATGTTTTTGTTCATCAGATGGTGTATTTTGAGGAGATTAATAAAACCATAAAATGTTTGAAACTAACATACTCGTTGCCATTTATTTTTAAGCAAATCCAGTGTTATTTAATTTTCTTCTCCAAATTCCTTCATCGTTATTGAAGTTTGAAAGAGGAAATTCAAAATGCTATTTGTGATTATTTCTGCTTAGATAATTTTTTTTAGAAAATATTAGGCTATTGGAATTTTATGGGTTAAAAAATTATATAAAAAAGAATAATGATACTAAAAATAAAATACATAAAAATAAGTAATATGGATATATTATATTTGTTAAAATATAAAAATAATAATAATAGAAAATGTAAAAAAATGGTTAAAATATGAGTTAAGTTTTTTCTTCTTCTTTAGTATTAAAGATTCAAAAGTAATAAAACAATCACCAATATTATTTTTTTATAAAAGAATCGGTAGCATCCGTTGTTTTAGTAATAGAAAACTAATATGGCATGTATTTAAAAAAAAAAGTGGATTTTGTATGTTACAATCCGAGCCACATAAAAATCGAACAAAAGTATGAGTCTCGCTAAAAAAACCATCATAAACCTAAATTAAAAAAAAGAATACTCATATTAACGTCGAGACTAACTTATTTTACACTGTTTAATCACGTAAGACATATTGACCTACCTTTTAACTCTAATAAAAAATCTTCTTTAAAGAGGAGTCGATCTCAAGTTGTTATTGAGTTCACCATCTTGTGTCAAACGGGTTGGCAACAAAGCTCTACTTGAGATTTCTTTACTGTTTTTATCATAAATCTATCATCTTGAGTGAGGTAAAAGAAGCTAATATTGTAACACTCCCCCATACCCGACCCAGATATAAATTCGATGTGTCACATTGACATTTCAAACTATTTACTTGTACATAATAGTGAATAATTTTAAAACTTTTACTAAATACAAATGAATAATTACATAAAATACAATAATATGATTTTACAAAACCAATTAGAGTATATCAGATTCAAATCTTTATTTACATGCCAACCACAATCAGTATTATAAAATACATACTATTCAATTCTTTTCTGATATGATATTTGGAAAGGAAAAACTGACATGTCTTGCTTAACTTTTATCAATCTTCCTCTTCTCGAACCTACGTGTGAAACAATCACATGCTAAGTCGTTGACTTAGTGAGGCATATAAAGCATATAATAAAACCATAGAACATTTCATATAACATAATGCATACATGCACATATATCATCATTATCAACATCAACATCATTATCATAATCTCTATCATTATCATTAACCCATATCACATAGCTTCATATCATATAACATATATCACATGTGGATGTAATCACATAGATTGTATCATATAACTTATATCATTTCTCATGTGTTCATGTAAACACGCATAACATCATATAATTCCTATAACACATTTCATATCCCCAAAAGCATATATATCACATATATTGTATTTGTCATTATCTCTTTATTAGCCCATGTACACATGTAATTCAGTGTAAATAATAATAACATGATATCATATAATAATGCAAACCTTTTGATATCTTTTATAAGTCCATGTACATTACTGAGAACTCAGGTATGAGTACATTGAGGTTGTGCACATATGTTGTCACCACAGCTCGTATAAATGCACCGAAGTGCACATAGAATTGCACCGAAGTGCCGCGTAGAGTTGCACTGTAGTGCCATTTATTAGCCCATGTACACATGTAATTCAGTGTAAATAATAATAACATGATATCATATAATAATGCAAACCTTTTGATATCTTTTATAAGTCCATGTCACATAGATTGTATCATATAACTTATATCATTTCTCATGTGTTCATGTAAACACGCATAACATCATATAATTCCTATAACACATTTCATATCCCCAAAAGCATATATATCACATATATTGTATTTGTCATTATCTCTTTATTAGCCCATGTACACATGTAATTCAGTGTAAATAATAATAACATGATATCATATAATAATGCAAACACTTTTGATATCTTTTATAAGTCCATGTACATTACTGAGAACTCAAGGTATGCGAGTACATTGAGGTTGTGCACATATGTTGTCACCACAGCTCGTATAAATGCACCGAAGTGCCACATAGAATTGCACCGAAGTGCCGCGTAGAGTTGCACTGTAGTGCCATATAAAATTGTCCATAAGGACCATATATAAATTCCTTAAGAATCATACACATATACCAAGGATCAAGTAGGTGTCTCAAAAAACCTCATACATGTTCCAAAGAATACATATATGTGCCGAAGGACCACGCAGAATTGTCTCGAAGGACGGTGTAAACCCTCTACTCTTGGCATGCCAACTATACCCCTAGCTCTCATATCACATAACATGGCCATTATTATTTATAACATTTCACATCACTTGTATTATATAAACATGTAATCTCATAACTCGTTCTCATGTAGCTTGTATATCATTCTTGTATGATCTCATAGATCATTGTATAATATTCTTGTCATATAACCCATTTTCATGTATTCATGCACACATAAGAATTCCATCAATCACAAATCAAATAATATTTTAGGAGTCACTTCTTACCATAGTAACTCCGTCACTGGCTCATCGCAAGCCAATGTTGGTTCAATAACATAAGTACAAATTAAATTACACTCACCTTAGCCTTGCTTACTTTGGTCGATCCTAATTCTTTGATGGTTCCGGAACAGGATTATGTTCTATATCTACACAATAATACATGGATCCATATCAATATTCTAATTGATATACTCTAATTGTTCACTCCTTAGACTAAAAGAAAGGTTGATTACATCTTTTATTTAAGGTAGACATCGGTACACTCTGTAGTGCATCGGTGCATTCCTTAACATGTGTATCGATGCACTAACTATGCATCGATACACAAATTACATTCGATGTTTTCATTTTAAGGGGTGCATCGATACACTTCCTATGCATCAATACACACTAAATAATTTTTAGAAATTTACCCTTATTGCATCGGTACATGTTGAATGTGTACCGATGCACACTAGCCCTGAATTCACATTTTATAGACGAAAATTACTCCTTTTATCTTCTACACTTCATGTTTCTTTCTCTTTTATGTTCTTAACTCACATACATATGCTTAAACCAATCTATACTCATTTATTACCAATGTTATTAAAATCGGACCGGACCGGTCGGTTCGACCGGTTGAACCGTGAACCGGTGGCCTGTCCAGTCTGGTTAACTCCCAAAACCGGATTAGCACAGAACAGGTAAAGAACCGGAAGAACCGGCTGAAAACCGGGGTGAACCGGCTGAAAACCGGCAAAACCGATTTTAACCGTCGGTTCACTTTTTTTCTTTAAAAAAAATTAAACCAAACGACGTCGTTTGTTCAACGAGCCGAGTCAAATTCGAGTATTGCTGAGCTCGACTCGAACTCGAAAACTTTAAAAGTAAGCTCAACTCGACACAAAAACTCACGAGCAAAATTATCAACTCGAAATATAATATTAAAACTTGAAATCGAAAATGCTCGAACTCACAAACAAAATTTAGAAGTTCGATTGAAGCCTAAAATTTGAGCTCAATTGAAGCCTAAAATTTGAGCTCAATTGAAGCGAAAGAATAGTTCCCTTTGTACTCACCAAAAGGCTCCATGATTTTGAATGTCAAATTATCTCTATTATTTATAGAAGTAAGTTGGGATGCTCTTCTATGTTTCTTAGCTATGTGGGATTGTTTTGTTATCATATTTTTACTCTTTAAACTTTTGGGATACTCTTTTATGTTTCTTAGCCATGTGGGATTGTTTTTTTTTAAACAATTAAACCAAATGACATCATTTGTTATGATTTTTTTAAGCCCCAATTTTATTTTTTTGATTATAGTTATATAATTTATTATATTTAATATGTTTACCTTAAATATTATGTTGTAGTTGATTTGAATCATTTTGTTTCACTTGATTTTATGGTTTTTCATTTATACATGTTATGACTTGTGATATTTTTATACCTTTTAATATTGTAAACTTAAAAAAAAGTGTTACATATATATTAATAGTGCTTTGAATATTATGTAAACTTAAAAAAAATATATTATTTTATATAAAATCCGGTTCAACCGCGGTTGAACCCAGTTGAACCAGTGAACCAGTACCTTCACCGGTTCAATGTCCGGTCCGGTTTTGAAAACATTGTTTATTACATCTTAAACCTCAAAATCTTATAATCCATATAAAATTCAATAATCATACTTAATTTCCAACATGTTCTAAATCCAATTCTATCACTTCATATCTCTTAATTAAGCTGATGACAAACCAAATTCAACTTACAATTCTTATTATAAACTCTATTTCAAGATTTCACTCAAGAGCTCCAAATCTTTAATCTTTCCTAACTCTTTTATCTTTTGATTTTAAGATAACTTAAGCTTTCCTTAAGCTTAGTTATCATCTAATGATCATAAACCAAACCTTTAGTTCAGTAAATAATCAACTAACCACAACACTCACCTTTGCTATGGTGGCTCACGACTGAAGAAGAAGAGAACTCTGGAAACTTGTTTTTTCTTCTTCACTCTTCCACGTGGGTTTCATTATCTTATAAAGGAAAATAAAAATCTTTCATGTCAAATGACCATTTTGCCCTTTACTTCATCTAATAATTACTAACAATAATTCATAAAATATCTTCAAATAAGTCATTGAACTATTCAATTATCCCGCTTTAAATCACCGAATTCTAAAACTTTACAATTTAGTTACTAACCCGGTATTGAAGATGTTACATCCACTTTTCCCCAGAGAAGAAAGCTCCCCAAGGGCATCACTGCCGCAAATAGGTAGCATATAATCAGCAAGATCCACTTGGTCATTAGTCATTTCTTCGCTTGATTTCAATTCGACCATTTTTGCTCAAACATGTTACTGATTTTGTTTAATCCAATCAAAATGAATTAAACCTTGCTGACACTTTCAGGTTAGTACACGCATACAATATATACACACACATACCGTGACATCCTTTTAGGCAAAAACGACATA